TTTTTTTTGGCCAAAAAGTTTTTTACGAAATTATACTGTTTCTAACAGCTTTATTGGGTTGAAATTTCCAACTAAAAAATTATTCATCTTACCACGTATTTTTGCAAAAATAATTGGAGGTCAATAAATGAACTACTAAATTTTGCTGTTATATACTAAAAACAACTAATCAAAAAAAAATTAATACTTTACTATGCTCAACCTGTTGTATTTTCGCTGTTTTTCCAGCAATTTATGACAGTAAATCAACGGGAAAAAAAGACATTTTGTAGAAAATACACATCACATATGCAAAAATCATGTTTGTAGAAACACCAGCTATGTTTTAAGCTCAACTGCAACTCAAAACATTCAGCCACCCCTTTATTAGAAGTATACTATGACGAGATATTCTATCCCATCACTTACGGAATTCAGTGTCGCAACTTGTATCCTCCAAAAAACAAGCGGACTGTAGAAAACGTTGGTTCCGGCAGCGTCATTCGGCAAAATGGGCACGATGGGGCAGTGAACCGATACGTTGGGCCATAGTGTTGCAACGGAAAAGCCCAGTGGTCTTAAAGCGCTTATCACGCCGAGATTTACGGTGCTGCCTGTTAATCTATACATCCTGCTGCAGCGTTCCTTATTTCAGCAAGAGAGAGCAAACTTTTCTGAAGCACATTTGAGACCGTTGTGTATCCACAGGTTCCGATCAAAGACGCTGCTGTCTTAGTTGGTGTCTAATTTGATGCCGTATCCGTATTTGAGTATTTGCGACATCAGGTCGAAATAATTGTTCAAATTTTATATACAATAACATATCTTTTATTTCTGTTCCATATTTTCATTTATTTGCCGGGTTTAGAGGCAGATTTCTTTTTTTATTTTTGCAATCGATTTGAATTTGTAACAAGACTACGACAGCGCCGTTGTATCGGCCATATTACATGACTAGACTTCAAGGGAAGCTTCAGAAAATTTCGGTTGCATACGTTAATTAATTGGACACCTATATTAGACCTCACACCGGCCTCTTTCTTTTTTCTTTTGGAATTTTCTCCCTCCAAACTCTAGAAGCCTTTCTTCTGCCCACGGTCGCACACGGCCGTGAAGCATATATATAAAGTTCAGGTGGTAGCTTTTTTTGATTCGAAGTTTTTCAGCCGTAAATTTAATCGGTATTCGTAGAAGGAGGAACAGTTTTTATGAGTTTATTGTTTAAATTATATACTTTTTTGCCGGTGAACCTTCACAGACATAGTGTAATGAAGCTGTTCGTCACGAATAGTGCCTTTGCTTTGTACTGATATTGCAATAGTTTTTTGAGTGCGGTTTTTACGTATGCATGAGTCGGGTACTTGCTATTTAAGGAAGTTACTATCCTTCATCCGAAAGAGGTTACCAATTTTCCACCTGTCGACTGGCGTTTAACAGCAAAAATTAGTTGTATTTCTAAAGTTATACGAAGTAGGGTGGATGCTGGGCAAAGCTTAAATTGTATGGATTTGTACATGCGGATAAACGTGTGCAATGTTCCGACGTAATGTAAGAAGTGTATTTGTAATTTCACCAACTAACCACTTAATCAAGATTTCAGAAAAATTAATAACTGTTTACGTTATACACACATCTGTGGGTTAAAGAAACAGAACCGTACAATAAAGATCGGTGTACTATAAACTATAAATGGTACAGCGTGTAGTAGTTGAGAGGAAAATCCAGCGATTTACTGTTCAGTTGGGTTCGCAGGGGAAATGTCCTTATTGGCAAAATTCCAGCGCGATGTAGTGTCATTTGTTGAAATCCAAAATTGTGTTGTTCCAATGCATTTTCGAAGTGGCACCTTTCGGCATCGTTAAGGAGCACCCAAATTTCGGGGAGACCAAGGGGAGAGTGGGGTGGGCTGATTGTACGAATTTGTTTCAGTCTTCTTCTGCAGGTTTCTCTTATTTGCGGTAAAGAATGATCAGAAATTTTGCTTGTTGGTTGTAAATTGTTTATCATTAATACTACTCTCATCACCGTCATTATTCTTATTCTTATTATTACTGTTATTGTCATTACTGTTATTATTGTCATTATTATTACTACTATCATTGCTAGTATTATTTCCGTTATTATAATCATTGTTTTGTTATTGCTTTTGTTACTTGATTACGAAAAAGCATTCACCGTTTCATGCTTTGTGCTGTTTAACGAATTGTTAAAGTTAAATTGTAAGTAAAATCAAATTTATATTTTATTTAGAAGTTTCTAGATTTTTTTAATGCGGTATTTCACAAACGTTGTATGTTAGTTGTACTAAAATCCGTGTTTCGAGCAACCATTCAGGAATATGACCTTTCGAAAGGTTTTTTACGGTTGTTTACAGTTGGGACAAAAGGGAATAATTTGAAGACCGGTTTAATTGTAGCAGACGCGTACAAATCGCGAAATTCGAAGCTGTAACAGTAACTTACAGTGTTTCCAAAACAAGAGCTGTAAGATATGTGGATAAAAATTATTCTGATGAATGTTGGGTTTTTTCCTATCTTTTGCGCGTTTAATGTTGCACAGATTAATTTTCTCTCGTTAATGAGTATAATTTGGTGCAGAATTATGTGAGGTTTTGCTTTATTGTGATTTTTACTGTATTTCTTTTCTCCAACTTTATGATTAATGGAAGATTGCAGGTGTCTGAAAAACAAAGATGAGTTCAGAAGCAGACAAGTATATTGGTTCTGTAGTTTCTGTATACTGCGGAGATGGTTCTTGCCTTCAGGGGCAGTTAGTTTCTATTGATCGAAAAAACGGAACTTTTGAATTAAAACGTCCGTTCAAGTTAGTGTTTTTTACGTATCATGCTTTGGACTCATTCATAGGAAATTATTTTGGTTTTAGTTGGTTACATTCCCTTGTTGGATTTATCACCAGGGGTCAGTTAAATACACTTGTTAATTTGAAAGAAATTTGTAGAAATGGGCGACAAATGAAAGAGTTGCGTCTGACTCTTCGGTCTTCTGAAGTGGCTAACGTAAAAGTTTTGAAGGTGAATAACCAATGTGTTCAAGAAAGCAGTGATCGTAAAGAGGTAATGGTTTCTTACTTTTGCTTCTTTATTCATCATAATTCTATCTTAATTTTCTTTTCTCAATTGATGAGTTAAAGACGGTATTATATTGTAGCCTTTTATTCTTCATACGTATGATTTTAGGTGGGTGAAACTTTTAGTCCCACAAATGCGGAGAAAAGCGGCGCAGCAACTGAACTTTCAAGCTCTGAAAACGATAATCTTTCAGCAAATTGTCATCAGACTTGTTCATCTTCCTGGCTGCACTCTAATTCGGGGTCTCCAGCAAGGTCTTTGTAAGTCCTTTGTAATTATCGCGGTGGAAGACGGAATTAGCTACTAGATTTTATTTCCTTTCGCTGAGATTCTTGACCAAAGCATAATCGGGTTTTTTGATTGTTTTGACATTTTATTAGGTTCAAGTTTTTTTTTTTTTTTTT